CACGAATATAACGGGGTATCTTACTTCCGAGGTAGAGGTTCGAATATAGCCCTTCTTAAGTATTTCGTCGATATATTCTCGTAGTATCTTAAGTTATTTCTAGTTAAGGTTATAGAGTTTATGGACTTTAGTCGAGGTTCCGGTTTTAAGATAGATTTCGTGATCCTATTAACTATATTAAGGAATACCCGTTTCGAGGGTTTCCTTAAATAACCTACTATATTTGCGATATTCTAGAGGTACGTTCTTTATTCGTTCTTCTTCTATCGTGGGTTTTTTCTTCTTTTCTTCTTATAGGGCTTGGTTTGCTTCGAATATCTTTTATATAATATTAGCGATAATTCGTTTTCCTTGTTTATATCGTATACCCGGTTATAACGCCTTCTCGGTCGATACTATAGCTTTTACCTACTTCGGCTCGCTTATATCTTCCTATGAAGATACTCTAGAGGCTAAGTCGTCGCGAATATTCGCTTTCTTCTAGCTAAATAATAATTATCGCGTTATCGTATCTATCCACGCTAACTAGCTAGTGCGCTAATCGACTACCGGATTACTTCTCGTTAACTATAGGTAACCTAATATTATATCGTATTTATATAAGTCTATAATATCGAAGACGATTATCTTATAGTATCCTTATATCGCTACGTTAAGATAATCGGTCTCGCGGTCGATAGTCCTACTATTATAATCGAAGCTTTATCCTTCGACGTTAAAAAGCTTATATAATCGAGCCTTATAATTCTATAGCAGCGTATATCGGTTAACTACCGCTAGTAAGATATAGTTTCCTATTGCTCTATTATCTAATAGTGCTCGTAGGTAATATCTATTAATCTAGACTTCTAAAACCGTTTTCTATCCTCCGTCTATCTCTACGGAGTAGAGGGTCTTTAGGTTTTCTTTATCGTCCTATACCCTTTTTATAGGCGACGTTAATAGTTTTTTAACGGGTAGTATTCTATATCGATAGTATTATCCTTAGGGTTATATGCGTAGCTACTACCGTACGACTCTAGGTACGTCGAGGGGTATTATTTCCCTTCCTCTTCGCACGGGTAATATATATACCCGTAGCAATAGACTCCGTAGTCTAATATATATCCTTCGTAATACCTATATATAATATACTACGTGTATGCCTTTCCTTACGGAATAAGGTATTCTCGTGCTCCGATCCTATATCGTAGGCGTAGCGTTTCCTTCGCTCTAGTATATCTTTCGCGGTTTGTCTTACCCTAGTTAATATAGTCTCGGTCCGCTTATTCGGTAGGGTCGAATAGCAATCTTATACTATTAGGGTGCTTCTTATATCCCCTACACCCTTATCCATAGCTTAAGGCATATTCCTTACTCTTAACTATCTTAATACCGAGCAATGCCTTTGCGGCGTTCTCGTATCGTCGGAGCTCTTTTATCTCTTTTTATTCCCTAGTCCTATACTAATCGAATACCTTTGCCTTAGCGTATCGTGGGTAGTCTACTAACTAGCATCTACGCCACGTCTTCTAGTCTCGTACGTATACTTCGGGGCATTTCGCTAACTACTTTAGCATTATATATCCTATGCTAGGTTCTACGTATATATACTCATAGAACTCCGCTTTATATTTTTTATATAGGTCGTTAATAACGCGGGTAGCTAGTCCCCTAATTAAGTAAACTTAATACCTTCCTTTATTAAGTATATATATTTTATAAAAGTAATATATATAAGAAATCTATAAGAGTTCGTAGTATTTTAGTATATCTAGGTATATACGTAGGTCGTCTCTTAAGACTATTCTTCGGTCTATTACCTAATTAATTCCTCCGTTTAGCGTCTAAGCGGGGATAACTATCTAGAGATCTTCCCCTTACAGTAGAGGGTCGTACCGATCTATCGCTACCTTTATCTATTCTCGTGGGGTTGCTCGTCCGTGTAATAGGTTAGTTTCGAGTATCCGTTTCTTTTATAGGAGCTCTTCGCCGCTATCTATAAAGTCGGTGTCGGATAATTCTTTATCCACGTTATCCGGGTGCTGCCCTAGTCCTATAGTAACTTTACGTATTATAGCTAGAACGCGAGACCCGCGTAATACCTTAGGGAACTATCCTAAGTTTTCCTTACTATCCCGGTAGGTTAGGTAGCTATCGTCGTAGCATCCTAACTAATATAACGCTTCGTGGGGTACCGGTTACTTTCTTACTTCTTCTCCGGCCTTCCTTATTTCTTCGAGGAACTTCTATCGTTCCTTCTCCCTAGAGGATATTATATTTTACGGGGGGCTAATATCGTATCCGGACCTAGTTATATTTAGCTACTTATACTTACCTTTAGGGACTAGTTTCTAGCCCTAGCTTCGTTCTTTCTTTAGGGAACGGTATTCGCGCGCAAAGTATCCCTTCTTACCGTAGTTATAGTAAGTGAGGTTCTTTTTATCTATCGTAGCAAGCTTTCGTCCTATCGCGTCGAGATCTATTAGTCCCGTATAGGTTCCGCCGAGAGCCGTGCTTTAGTAAAATCGCGGTCGTCCTATATTAGGGTAGATTCGGTTTTTACTATTGCGATCGCGGCTTAAGGTATTAGTAAAGTACTATCCCTTCTTCTCGCGTCGTCGCTCGAATTATCGGTTATCGATCTTAACGGCTATCGCGATATAGCTCGCGAGGGTAGCGGGTCGGTCTTCCTTATATAGCTCGTCCTTAACCTTATCCTTAAGACCTCGGTAGAAGGAGGCTATCTTATCTCCTTCACTCTTAGTAGTTCTAGACGCGATTTAGGTAAATAGGGCGCCGTAATCCGAGGCTAACCTTTTTTATTTTAACGCCTCTAGCTAGTTCTTAGCTAGGCGTTCTTCGTCGATAGTCCCGAAGGTCGCCTTTAATATTTCTTTAAAGTTATTATAATACGCGAAGATATCTTTCGTCTCTTATTTTCGGTATTAGTAGGTATTAGTTACGAAGTCCCTAAGAGTAGGTTCGAACTATATAAGAGCGGCTCCTAATAAACATCCTACCGCGTAGCGTACTTTATCTTCTTCCGTACGAAGGATAGACGGGAAGTACTATTAATAGGCTCTAACCTAAGTCAGGAACCCTTAAAGGTCCTTAGTTATACTATCGAATAGTCCTAGTTAGCGTAGCTTTATAATCTCTCCTAGGTCCTTGCCGGTAGCCTATCGAATAGTATTATTGCTCACGCTATTTATCTCGTTTCTTAGCTAGGCGGCCTACTGCTATTATAAGGTTATTCCTTCGTGGAAGGAACGGTAGGCTTTATCGTACTACTACTTATCGCGGGCCTATATATCGAGGACTTGCCGTAGCTGCCCTTATAACTCTTAGATCTGCCCCTTAAGGATCTTCGTATCCTCGTTATCGGACTCGTCCGAGTCCAAGTCTATAGACTAAGCCGTCTAGGAGGGCTCGGCATACTTAGCCGTGGCCTTACCCTTATCGGCGGACTTAGGGGTTGTCTTAGAGGATTCGCTAGCTATAGTATCGTATTACTTAAGTACTTAATACGGTAGTATACTAAATAAGAGCTATTAATATATGACGTTCGGGTTAGACTAACTATAGGGTAGGTAGATCTAAGGTCGGTTTATAAACTAAGTATACTAAGATATCGTTAACTTAAGCGGTCGGGTTATAGTCTATATGTAAGATAGTAGATCTTACGTAAACAATTATATTAATAGCTAAGGAGCTAGTAGAGACTAACTATAGTAAAGCTAGGCTTCCTATATACTAAGGGGATTATTATGTAAAGTAAATAATACCCGTGGATCATAAGGCTCATGAGATAAGTACGATAATCTAGATCATAGTGTTTTATAGATAATCTAAAGTGATTAGTATGAAATAGTAGGGCCTTAGTCGTACGAATAGGATTCGTGCGACCGGCATTCGTGCGAACGATATTCGTACGAATATCGCTTATTCAAGCGGCCGGCATACCGCTTCATACTTTACTACATAAAGAATATAAATGGGTTCGTACGACGAAATTGTAGGGCCCACGTGACATACGTCAGTGGCCGCATATTGGGTCGTAACAGATAATAAGCACGACTCACGATAAATAACTAACCGGTTTTATTTAATTCTAATATAGAATCTCGGGAAGGGAGATATTATATTACGACCCGATATACGATCGTATACGCCTCTTATATACCCCTTACCTTTCTTTACTTATTATACGTCCTATATATATTATATATAATAAGCGATTATAAGCGCTAGGCGACTATAATCGACTATACTATAAAAGCGCTCGTAGATAATAATTAATTATAATTAATTATATATTATTTACTTAGTATATAAAAGCTAAGCTTTATTATAATTAGTCTTTATTAGCTCTCTAGCTATTAATATAATTATCTACGTAAGATCTACTATCTTATATATAGACTATAACCCGATCGCTTAAGTTAATAATATTTTAGTATACTTAGTTTATAAACTAACTTTAGATCTACCTACCTTACAGCTAGTCTAACCCGAACGTTATAATTATCTAACTAAGCTTATTTTAATATATCCTCTCGGCCGTTAGCCTTTATTACTTATAGCATTAGTAATATCTTATTATTAAAGTTTTTAAAGATAGATACTAAGCGCCTTTAGTTAGTTTAAGATCGGTTCTAGTTTATAGTATAGGAATAGTAAAAGGCCGGCTAGATCCTAAGGTTATATACTTCTTAAGAGAACTGCCCATATCCAGGTCAAAAAAGAATTATCTCTAAGGACTTAGCTACCCTCGAAAGTGATAACGCAATTAGCATCCATGCTGACTATAGCAATATAGCTAAGTTTGGCTCCGTGGACGCCAACTATTTCCGTGTAGGACAGTGTGGGTGGGGTTGGTCGGGGGGCTCAGGGGCAAGCGACCGAACTAACAGGCGAATCAAGATGGTCGCCTAAGCGCCCTTATGGGCCGTGTGGTCTACACTACAACTCTGAAACGGTTCGTTTCAAGTGTGCCACGCAGCCTTGCAACAGCTCTAATATTGCGATAGGGCCGTTGTCTTGCCCTTCTCCGCTCCAGTCTTTGTCGATGATGAATCGGCGGCTTTCATAACAACCTCCATAACCAGCAAACAAGCAATGGCATCGCGAGACGACTATATCGTCGGATGGGTCTGTGCCCTGCCCTTGGTAGCAACTGCTGCCGAGGCGATGCTAGACTCCGTTCATCCTGATGGGCCCTCAGACCTGGATATAGCTGGCGATATCAAGTTTGTCTTTGGTAGACTCAATGGCTACGACGTCGTGCTCGCATATCCATCCTCTGGGAATCAAGGAACCGGCTCGGCTGTGGAAACTGCTGAGCAGGTCCGTGTGGCCTTCAGGTCTATCAGATTTATTCTACTGATTGGATTAGGCGGAGGCGTTCCGCACCCGAAGGTGGACATTTCCCTTGGGGATGTAGTTGTGGGAAGACCAGGGCCAGGTCGCTCTGGTCTGGTGCCGTACGAGGGGGGCAAGGTGCACTGGAACGACGATGAGGCGGGTAATGGCCGCTCTGATGGCTTGTTTGAAAAGCCATCCTCCACTCTGTTGACCGCGACGCGGAAAGTAGAGATGAACTCGATTCTTGGCAACAGTCACATGCGGACGTACATGAACACCATCATGAACAAACATCCTACAACATTCGCCCCGCCCGGGCTGGAGAGGAACGGTACGGTCGGTGGACAAGGCGAGCATGGGGACGCAAAGAGCTTTGACGGCAGAGGTGAACGGAACGGGTGCCGTACTTGCACTTGTCAAGCAAGCGCAGACCGGTTGCCCAAGGTCCATTACGGGCTTATTGCATCCAGTCGTCATCCATTGAGAGGCTGCGAGACTCGGGACATCCTGGCGGCGGACTACGGCATTCTCTGCTTCGAGACCGAAGCGTTTGGTCTGCCCGACAGCGGCCGGATCCAAGTCATCAGAGGAATATGCGGTTATTCCGATTCGTTCCTTACTAGCGAATGGCAAGGCTATGCTGCCGCTGCGGCGGCGGCGTACGCCAGAGAGCTCTTAATGTCGATGCCTGCCGCCGTAAAGCCCGTGGCGCAGGAGATGGAGACCCGAGCAGCAGCATCCACCGTGCTTGATGCTCTACTATTGACCAGGCCCGAGGTGGACCGCAGTTCTTTGATTGCCCTGAAAGGACGGAGAGCTGATGGCACATGCGAGTGGCTCACACGACACGCAAACTACCAACGATGGGCCGCTGGCGACAGCCCGCCTCTGCTCTGGGTCTCAGGCGGTCCAGGAAAGGGGAAGACAATGCTGGCCATCTACGTAACCGAGCTGCTGCAACCAGAACAAGATTCGACCGGGGGGATCCTTCTTTACTATTTCTGCAGTAACCGTGACAAGAACCGGAACTCAGCGGTTACCATCATGAGAGGAATCATACACCAGTGGATCACCGCCGAGCCTCATCTGGCGCAGCACGTCAAGAGCTATTTCGACGGCTCTGAAACCATAAAATACACAATATCCAATTTTGTGACCCTATGGAGGGTGTTTATCTCCCTGCTTCGCGAGACCGTATCAAGCACCATCGTCTGTGTGCTAGACGGCCTGGATGAGTGTGAAAGGGGGTCGCTCCAACAGCTCCTGGATGCTTTGGGGAACTATCTATCTCAAAATGTGAGAAATACAAGGTCAAATCTAAGACTCATTCTTCTCTCGCGCTCCCAGCCAGCACTACTCGAGAGCAAACTCGGCCATTACCCCCGAGTCAGGTTGGACGAATCAGACACGGAGGTAGCCAAGGACGTCGAGAGATACATCGCATCCAAGGTTTCAGAGCTCGCCTCGGATCAAACTCTGTCAGAGGACCAACTATCACAAGTGCGGCAGGCCTTGGTGGCCGGCGCCGATGGCACCTTTCTCTGGGTCGGTTTCGTCGCGGATGAGCTCAAGGGGCGGAGTTGGCAAAAAATCCAGGATATTCTCCACCGATTGCCCAAAGGCCTAGGCGGCGTTTACCAGCGGCTGCTGCAGCAGGTTGAGGACAAGGAACAGCTAATTCCCATCCTGCAATGGCTTGTGCTTGCTGCAAGGCCGCTGACAATCGACGAGTTGTGTGTGGCAGCCAAGATTGCTCCGTCTGTCGACCGTACCGCGGCCGAGGCCACACGAGATCGGCTTAACTCCTGCGGGCTTCTGGTCAAGGTCGATGGGGACGTAGCCAACCTCGTGCACGAGTCCGCCAAAGAGTTTTTCCAGGGCGATCAGGTTGATGATCTGGAAGGAATCAGCATGTTCCGCATGGGTCCGACCACCCACCGCACACTCATGGACGCCTGTCTGTCGCTTATCGAGAACAGCCATGTCTCCTCAGGGAGCATCAGCGAGCAGTCCCTCACCAAGCCCCTCCTGACCTATGCCTGTCTTTTCTGGCCTTACCACTTGCAGCGCGCACACGAACTGGTCGGTGACCGTTCCATGTTCACGCGTTCATTCTTCAAGCCTGAGGCTCCGATCAGGGAGGACTGGTGGAAGTTCTACTGGGACAGGGAGCAGTACGGTGGAGCACCGCCCTCGTTTTCACTGCTGCATCTCGCCTCGTACCTAGGCATTCCAGCTTGGACCAGGGTGCTGCTAGAGCAAGACGCCGCGAAGCATACCTCCCGTCACAGACTCGTTGCACGGAAAGATAACTACGGTCGGACGCCACTCTTCTGGGCCGCGACCCGGGGTCACAAGGACATCGTAGGGCTGTTGCTCAAGCACGGAGCCCCCGTGAGCTCCAAAGACCGGAGCAATCTGACACCGCTGCATATAGCGGTCACGGGAGGACACAAAGAGGTTGTGTCTCTTCTGCTTGAACATTCCGCCCCGATCGAAGCCAAGGCAAGCTACGGCGACACACCACTGATACGAGCCATCCAGGCCAACTCTAAAGAAATTGCCCAGCTACTTCTTGAGCATGGAGCGAGCGTTGCTGACTTGCCTATCGTTGGCACGGAGCAGCGGAGCCAGCCGACGAGGACCGTGGAAGAGAGGGCAGAACAGCTGCTCGGGTTGCAAGAGCAGCTCTTTGCGGCCAGGTACGAGGAATCTTCGCGCCTCGTCGGGCTCACAATCAAGACGCTCACCCTATCGTTCCAATTCCAACCCATTGTCAAGCTTTTCAAGTTCTATCTCGAGAACTCCTCCATCGGTCGCTGGGAAGTGATGCACGTGCTCCAGGACCTGGTCAGGAACAATAAGATCGCGAGACTGCGGAACTGGGCCCAAGCCTACATCGACTTTGGCACCCAACTGGTCCAGGCAGAGGACGCCAAGAACCTCGCCACCATGACGGATCTCTCGGTCCAGGTGTTCCGCGTGGTCTCCACCGGCGACCTTGAGGCTCTGCTGGTGATCGGCGTCCTCGTCGGCTCGAGCATCATACTCGCCGCGGCCGAAAGGGGATGGTGGCCAGGCGTCGACATCTCGGCACGCACGTTCGCCCAGTTTGCCGCTCTGGCGTACCACAGAGACCGGGGGGAATTCTTGCACTACGGCGTCCGGGAGTTTCTCGTCGAGTTTGACGGCTGTATCCGCGGTGGAAGAAGGTCTGAGAGTGCGGCTCGGACCGTCGTGCTCTTCAGCACACACTTCGGCATCATCGACACCAAGGAGCCTCGCCCGATCAATTACTTTGCGACAATCATCGCAGAGTACTATGAAGGATACGTCGGTACCGCCGACGAGGAGCGGCTCTTCAGTGACGCGACTCATGCGTGCGCTGATGAGCTTGAGACCATTGGGAAAACGCGCGATTCTCACAAACTTCTGCTGTTCGTCACTGCCATCCTGCAGTTCATCGCGCGCTGCTCCAAGGACGTGGCCAAGGACCACTTCTTAAGTATGATACCCGCATCGTGCCTGATACTCTGTCAACGAGACCATAAGCTTCATGAATGGCTTATTGCCAAAGCAATCCCGGAGACCATGAGTGTTTCGATATCGCAGCAACCGGAAATGGCCCAAAGACGGGCCTTCAAGGCTCTCGTTGAGTGTATCATCATTGGCAAGCAATACGGGCTGTTGGATCCAGTGGGTCTGCAACAGAGGCTCAGGGAAACTCTTAACATCAGTAACTATGTCAGTGAAACGCTGGACGAAATTCTGCTCTGAACTGGTCTCGCACATCGGTACGATACTGCAAGCTGCCAGAACAGAAGGATTTGGTCGATAGTTGACGCTTGTACCATCGGACTTTAATTTCGTTTTTTATTTGATTTATGTCTCAATCTAGCCGTGGTCGATGTTAGAGCTGCACCGCTTCCTGTTGAAACTAAGGTAGGCCCCCCTTGTCTGTCAGGGCTCCAAATTGCAATCGCATTGTCTGATCTAATCGTTATTGCATGGCGTCGCAGCGGCTAAACTAACACTCACTGGGTCGACCCATGTGCTTTCAAGACATGTCTTGGCCTCGGAGTCGCTTCCAGAAGCTTGAAACCCGAGATCGAGGTTGCTCGCTTCTTGACCCTGCCTTGGCTTGGCTGTGAGTGTCAGACGGAGCAGACGTGTTCTGGGCCTGTGGACTAGGCCTTATCGGCCGCGGCGAATCGTCAAGCAGCGAAAGCGACTTCATAGAAGCGACATTGTGCAACATCAATCTGATCTGGTCGTCTTTCTCAGCGTCAGGAACTGGCTTGCTGTACCCGTACCGCCGAAGTTGTTGCAGCATTTCAGAGTCGGAGACAAATAGTTCCCACATCTGCCGCCCCGCTGGCAGGATGTTCGGATCCGCACCCTTGCTTAACAGCAATTCTACGATCCGCAAGTGGCCTTTACTCGCAGCATAATACAGTGCAGTTCTCCGTCCAGGGTCGGTGCCATCGATATGATGACCCTGGTCCAAAAGGAGTTCGGCCAGGTCTATATTATTCTCCCGTGCCGCTTTTCGCAGTCCGGTGACTGGCCTGCAACAGCGAGACTTGCTGTATGCCAAATTGCTGAGTTTCGCATAGGTATGACTCCCGAGCTCAATGTCGAGCCAGTCTTCTGCTGTGCGGCCGGTGTCGTCTCGCTCGACGAGGAGCCGGTCCCCAAGAGGCAGGCGGAGGAGTTCTCTGACCGTCTCCAGATGCCTCCCAAGAACGGCAAGATGCAGTGCAGACCAGCCGTGATTGTCCTGTGAAAGACTGGGTCGTTCTCTCCCTTCGCTTGGACTGTGGTGGGTGTCGATCTGTGATATGATAGCATGGTTCCCTAGATAGGCAACGTGATGCATCGTTGTCCAGCCATGACATGTTGCGCTAGTCAGATCTGCCCCGTACCTGAGAAGCTGGCGGATTCGACGCACACCGATGCCTGCAGCACAGTGCAATGGTGAAGTTCCATACAAGCTCACCGCATTCACATCGCCCCTATACTGCATGATCAACTCTATGAGACGCTCTGTTGTGTCACCTGCGGGCTCGGTATCTCGGCCCTCGGTATGTGATGCTGGTCCCTCAACGGCCCAGTGTATGGCGGACCACCCGTCGTGGTCGCGCTCGTTTGGAGAAGCACCCCCTGAAAGGAGGAAGCTGACTACATCCTCCATGCCCTGAGCAGCCGCTTGGTTCATCAGGGATGCCTCGGAGACACTTGGTAGTGATGGCTTTGAGCTGACGAAATGCATAGACAGGTAGTGCTGGCCAAGACTGATTGCCCATCCCGCAGCAGACGTACCCCGTGAATTGTCGTACTTGTCCACTGGGTCAACCCCAAGTGATTCCAGCTTGTAGATTGCGTCCAAGCGTCCGCTGACAGCAGCCCATAGTAGTGGCGTGAATTCATAATCGTCGGGAATATCGATCGAGGCCCCAGCCTTAACCAACAAGCCAATGCCTTCCACAAAACCTCCTCTTGCCGCGTAGTGCAGTGGTGTCAGGCCGTTTTCGTCTCTGGCACAAATCGCCTCGTGATCAGAAGACTCTAACAAAAGCCTCATTATATCCTCCTTGTGGTAAAGAGCAGCGTAATGAAGAGGTTTCTTGCCACGAGACCTGCCGCTTCCAGTGACTAGGTGCATTAAAGCCCGAACTCGTTCCACGTCGTCGCATTGAATCGCAAGGTATAGTGTATCGAGTTCTAGTGGCTGACGGATGTCGTCAAGATCGAGTTGTTCAATCGACGAAGTAATGCTTCCCTTGAGATCGCCGGCCTGGTCGTCTCCGGCAGTATCTGAGAAATTCAATTCATCACCGACCATGATGCTGCACATAGACCCACGAAACCTCGCACCGCCATCATCTCCAATTAATATGTCACTGGCTAAGTCGCTGGCCTCTGTCTCGCTGTCAGTGGGGAGCTTCTGCAGCGCAAGTAGAGCAAGCTCCTTCATGTGTGCGGCAACGTGAGAATGCAGATCGTCAGAGGAGAAAATTCCATAACGGTCAGCCTCTTTTGATGGGACAAAGTCGTCACCAAAAGGACACTCGTTTATCATGTCCTGGAATGGCCTCCGCGCTGCTTCACTCAATGTCCGGACGTGAGCCTCGGGAACACCGTGTTCATCGCAAGAGTGCTTCTGGAATTGGATCTCGTCTCTGAAGATCATAGGTGTGTGAGAAGGAGCTCTGCATTCCCACGCAAGTCCGTGCGAGTTCTGCATATGGCTCATCCACGCTTTGGATGTTTCGAAAGTCATTGGATCGTGACCCTGTCGACATGAATCCGTACATGCAGTGGAGAGACAAATGAATGGCTCTAGATCCCTAATGACATGTGTTCTGTTCGCAGTTTAGCCTTCACACCGCAACATAAGAGGAGGATATTTGCGCACCTCCAGACGTTGTATTTGTTAGAACCCTTATACTCGATGACCACGCCGCAGTAAGGACATTCATTCTGTTGCGGCATGGGTGGGAAAGACAGCTCGTTGTTCACTAACACGGACTTTGCTCGGGGAACCTCCGTTGTGGACTTTGCATACAGCGCCCCAATCTCAGTCTGCCGAGCGGTGGTAGCATAAGTCAACGGAGCGGGTGGGTAGTCCTGCCGACTAGGTTCCGCGTTGCTGACTTTGATTTTTGGGGTTGCCTCTGGAGCGAACCGCACGGATCTTGGCTTCTCCGGAATCCTGGGCAGCGGCATTTTCATTTGACCTGCCTGTAGGTTTTCAATGCTCAATGCGACATGTCTCCGATGCAGCCTCTGATAAGACAACCGCCGAAGCCGCAGCGCATTTGCTTCAATCAGGGCGCAGCGAAGCGACTCCGGGGCCTCGGGGAACCGGAAGCGAATGTAGCAGTCGGTGTACAAGCGCAGCTCATCAATAGCACGTTGTGTGTCATCATCCACCTGATAGGCTTTTAGCTTTTGTGCTCTCGAGGCCTTTGCGGACTTTCGAATCGCATTGGACAATCGAAAGAGTCGCGTCACGGTGCCACCGATGGTGTACGTAAGGAGGGAAGTGTTCTTGTCGGCTTGGTCTTCGTCACTGTCTATGTCGCTGGCGTTATCGTCACTCTCGACCACGCGTACTTGGTCTGAAATGGATAGGCGCCGTTTCTTCCTGCTCGGAGTCGGTCGTGACTCGACGATCGGTTTCACTATCGCAGAAATGACCGTTAGAAACCATCATCTAATATTGAGTAGCGTTCGATCTACTCACACTCCATGAGAGAGCTGTAGATCACGTCTAGAAGCTGGTGAAGAATATCGACAATGTTTGGACTGTACCTGAGCCTGAAATCCAGAGAGATGTTCGGCGGCCCAAAGACGTCCATGTTGGAAGCCCATAACGTAAATCTCGCTAGCTGGTCATCCATTATTGTTGGATCAGGGACAATGTCGGGCGTAGCCATATGCTTCTGGAAGAGCTCGGTGCATTTCAGCGCATGTTCGGCAATCGTAGCGCCGGAGTTGTCGTTGAGGAAGACGTCCTCTGGCTTATCCAGATCCATGGGGCCAGACTGTGCCATGACGGTCAAGCCGAACAGGCAGCGAGGGCTTGCTCCCGTGCTGGAGGCTCACGATTTCGGGTTGGAAAGTATCCCTTGTGTGGCTTGCGACAATCAAGGTTGCAGGCCTTCTTTCTCCCTTGAGGCCTAGGAGGCGGTGTCGCTGTTGATCATCCAGCAGAAAGACCCAACTGCATCGGCGGCGGACGCCAATAGGTGCGCGCCCGGGCGCGCAAATACGTATCACGTGTTACGCTCCGGGCGCGTCAGTACGGTTTAATGTAAAAGCTACCCCATGAAATTAATAACCGTGCTTAATTAAAGATGTAGCGCCGCGGTTAGCAAAGAAAGGATAGTCTATAAAAAGACATTAATAATATCTTATAAAGCTTATACATATATTTATTTATAAGCCTATAAGTAACTATCTCGCTATAAATATAAATATAATATTAAGTAATGCTTTACTTTATAATTTACTTCTTAATAATAATTATTATTCTTAAGTTATACTTATCGCCACTTTAAATACATAAATAATAAATTAAAGCTATATATTCGTAGTAATAAAGCTTAATAATATATTCAATAACTAATAAATTATAATTTTTAGCTATAGTGGAGCTAAGATATAGTTAAATTAGTTAATTATAAATTAAAAATTAATTATACTATAGTATATAAGTTATTATTTCTTAGTACTTTTAAAAGGAACTCTAAAGAAATTATTTTAATACTTTATATATTACGTTAATATAAAGTATATTGATTTAGTATAACTATAACTTAAATATAGTTATAAGTGTTTTTTTTCATATATCGCTAGATATAGGTATATAATTACTTAAGTAATTTAATAAAAAGACATAAGTATATAATTTAGAATAAGTAAGCGTTATAAAAAGTTAAAGTATTATATATATATTTATTAACTATTATAAAGTAAGAGAGATTTAGAGTTATATTTAATTTAATAAAATTTACTTAGTTAGAAATATATTTATTAATATTTAGAGTTATTAAACTATTTTAACTTATATTAAAATGGTTTTTTTTAGTTTATATATAAAGTAAATAATTTTAAGATATTCTATACTAATATAATTAAAATCGGTATTTATTAGCGATCTTTCTATATTAACTCTACTCTCTTTAATAATAAAGAAAAGGAAATATAAGAGAAGTATTAAACTAATTATACTTAATATATATAATATATATAAAATATATAAAAAGGATATTTATTATTATTTTAACAAATCTTTATCTACTCTATATAGATATAAGATTTATTTATTTCATAAGTAAAGTATTATTTCTATAATTATTATTAGAACTAGATTTAATAAAGAGCGAAAAAGTATATAACGTTAAAAGGACGCTATTAAGTAGCTATAAGTATAGAATTCTTAATAACTATATTAACATAACGTTCGGGTTAGACTAGCTATAGGGTAGGTAGATCTAAGGTCGGTTAATAAACTAAGTATACTAAGATATCGTTAACTTAAGTAGTCGGGTTATAGTCTATATATAAGATAGTAGATCTTATATAGATAATTATATTAATAGCTAAGGAGTTAATAGAGATTAATTATAATAAAGCTATATTTCTTATATACTAAGGGGATTATCGTAGGGAGCGAGTAATACCCGTAGATTATAAAGCTTATAAAATAAGTATAATAATCTAGATTATAATATTTTATAAATAATCCGAAGTAATTAATATAGAATAATAATTCCTTAATTATATGAATAAGATTTATACGATTAGTATTTATACGAACGATATTTATATATATATAACTTATTTAGGCGGCTAGAATATTATTTTATATTTTATTATATAAAGAATATAGATAGGTTTATATAATGAAATAAAAGTCTTATATAATATATATTAGTAATCATATATTAAGTCGTAATATAATATCCCTCCTTCCGGGATTCTATCTTAGAATTAATTAAAATTATATTAATTACCGTAATATATCTTCCTTAGTTTCTTTTCTTTCTTTTTATAATATACTAACTAAAATACTAAACTATATTACGAAAGATTATAACTCTTATTCTTAGAAAACTAAATAATATAATACTTTTTTAAAGGTCGTATTCTTAAATTCCGTAAAGATAAAGAATACTTACTTTATTTATAAAAAAAAATAATCACGAATATATTATTTCTAAGGAGGATTCTTCACGTTATTTTAAGTATATTTATCTTAACCTTTCTTATTACGATATTAAAGCGCTTTCGCTATAATAATTATATCGAATTATTATATAATATACCCGCTTTAAATCTAAATTAGAAAAAGTCAAGGAGGCTCGTTATATACTAAACACTAAGGTAAAGTATCTTTAAAAATAAAAGAAATTATAGTTTAAGAAAATAATATAAGCTATATCTCGCGGTATCGATAGTATAAAAGAACTAGAGTATATCGAGCGGAAAGAGGCCGAGCGCGAGAGTACTCGCTAATCGGAGGCCTTTATATTTAGTAATCTCGTAGCTCGTTCTTTAATAAATAGTTTAATAACTTTAGATTTTATAAAGAATTAAGAAAAGTATTTTAATAATAATCCCCTAAAGCCCTTATTTATAAAGGATTTTATTATATTTATTTTATAATATACCTAAGTATTAAGTTAGAGCGATAGAAATAATAAACTAAGTTTTAGTAATTCGTTAAGTACTTAGGTAATTCCTATATATTTTCGCTATTTATATAGCCTTTTTATTTAATAAAGTATTTAATTTCTTTATTTATAATTTCTTTATTAAGAATTTATTTTAGTTCGTAAAATTCCTCGAATATTTCTAGTTTATAGTTTATTTTTATATTTTATAGTACTTTTTTAAGTAATAAAATATAAAAAACTAAGTATATCCTTATACTTAAGAATAATAAGAGTTTATAATTTATATCTAAGAGGACTTTATCGATTTTAAATAATCTATGTTTTTTATAATTAAGTTTTAATAATAATCGAGTTATTATAAAGTTTTTATATAATAAGTAAACTATATCTCCCCTCTAAAAGATTAATCTTTTCGATTTTTTTTAATTATAATATCTTAATATTTATAAATATATAAATTTAAGTTATTTTTTTATATATTTATATAATAAGCGTAATTAGTTTATGTTAAGTATAGCTTTTTTAGTAAGTAATCTATCCCTTAGTATTTTATTACCGAACTCGGGTTTATATTTATAGTTTATATAAAATAATAAGATCTTAGTTAATTCTATAAGTATATTATTATAAGTAAGTTAGGCGAGTAATAACTTCGAGACTTAATTATCTTACTTATAATTAATATAACACTATAAGTATTATTCTAATATCTAATTTAGTCTCTTTATTTATCTATCTATCTAAGGGTAATAAGCTATATTAAGCTTATATTTAGTTCCGAGCTAAGCTATTAAGGCTTATTAAAACTTAGAAATAAATATCGTTCTTTTATCTAAAATAATTTCTTCTAGAAGGCCGTGGTTAGCTATAATATATTTAAGTATTATATATATATAAGTATCTCTATATTTATTATTTTTTAATATAATAAAAAATATTTAAATTTATTTATTTAGTCCTTAATAATAAATATATTATTATATTCGATATTAGATCTTAGTTCCTTAAATTTAGGTAGTTTTATAATATAATCGAAGGCTCTTAATTCTTATAGCCTTAAAAGCACCTATAATAGCTTAAGTTCTTTATATAGCTTATATTATATAGCTTTATTATATATATAGTCTTTATATTATCTAATAATATATATAATATTTACTTTAATTCTTTAATAATTATATATTCGTTATATTTATTTAAGGGTTTTCTTAATACCTTAGTATTTTATTATAAGGTATATATAAATATTAATTAAGATTTAATTATATAGTAATAGTAATATCTAAAGTAATTTATTCTTAATAAGTCTTTTTTTTATTTTTATTATATAATTATTAAGTATTCTTTTCTTATACTTAAATACTTATTCTAGTATCTTATCGTAATATATAGTATTTACTTATATTTTAAATATAAGGAGGTTAAGTAATCTTTATATATAGTTGCTTTCTTTATTTTTCTAAAGAATCTAGCCCTTAGTTTTTAGTTTTTTTATATTATAGTTTAATCTATAGCTAAGAGCGTTAGCTTTATTATTTTTTAATTTTTTTTTAATAAATAATCTTAATATTATAGTTTATTAAGAATTCTCTATAATAGACTTATCGCTTATTAAGTTCTTATATAATCGCGAAGTAAGTAATATTTTAATAATTAATATAGACTTTAGTTATAAACTTAGTCCTTAATATATAATATTTAAATTCTTTAATAACGGAGATAATTGTTAAGAATTCCTTATTATAGATAAGATAGTTTAACTCTATATTATTAAGCTTCTTTAAAAAGAAAGCGATTAATTATAGATTATTATTATTATTTCTTTAATTAATTTATACTCTTATAATATAATTTAATATATTTATTTCGAGTTTTAATAATTATTTAAGGTTATATATTATAAGTATTATATTCGAGAGTATAATATCTTATAATATTTCGAACGCTTTAATTTATCTTTCTTTTTATTTAAAAATTCTTTTTTTATAAATTCCGTAAGTAAGGCTATAATTATTATAAAGTTATATATAAAACGCCTATAGTAATTTACGAATCCTATAAATATTTATACTTCTTTAAGGTTATTTTTTAATTTAGGCTATTTTTTAATTATATTAAGTTTTATTTATTTTATTAAGATTTTATTTAATCGGATTATATATCTTAGGAAGATAGTTTCTTATATATAAAACGCGTTCTTCTTAAAATTAATTAAGAGGTTAGTGTCCTAAAATATCTTTAATACTTAATAAATATATTCCTTATATTCTTTAAAAATATCCGAGAAAATTAAGATATTATTTTAATATATTATAATAAAGATATTTAACTTCTCCCGGAGAATATTATTTATTATTCGCTAAAAAATAGCTAGAATATTAATAAAACTAAAGAATATTACTAAGTACTCGAATAAACTAAGCTTAATATAGAAAGCGGTTTTTTATTTATTCTTTTTCTTTATATAGATTAAGTTATAGGCTTTTTTTAAGTTAAGAGTAATAAATTAGTTCTTATTATAAAGTCTATCCTTAAGCTTATTAATAAGTAATAAGGGTATCCGGTCTTTAATCGTAATATCATTAAGTTAATTTTAGTTTATAACTAACTATA